ATATGGTAATCTTAAATAATTAACCAATACTTAGTATATCAGTAAGCAATATGATTATTACTACTATATATTTTTGGCTTTTTCGATGATTTGTATAATTTTTATTATTATTTCTAAGAATTGCAAAAATTCGTAGCCGTATGTTTAATTTTTTTAGAAAATCGATAGATAGATAGATAACACTTTATTGTACGCCACAAAATAACATAAATATTAACAAAAAATGAGAAAAATAAATGTGGTACAATGGGTCATATCGCTAAGAGCGATCTCTTCCAGACAACCTTTGGATGGATAGGATTTCAAGAAAACAATAAAAACGTGTGTGGTTTGGCGACAAAAATAACATTATTTTTATTAAAGCCATAAAATAGAAATATAGAATGGTATATAAATACATAAGTAAGATAAATAAATACATACATATTAATATATATGTATATATATACATATAATTATATATTTTTATAAATATAAATATATAAAAGTATAAATGTATACTTTAAAACTATTATATATAACATAAATGTGCCATACATATAAATAAATATTGTAACTAAGTAAAGGTAGAATAATTATATACAAATGAATAGGCATTATTTTTGTATAAAGCGCAGTCACTCTGTGCTTGCGTGCGGTGCGTGAGATTAGAGAGACGAGACGCGAACTACTACGTACTAGCCCTAGGCCAGGGCAGTCTGCGACGGCCCGTTCCACGCCCCGCGCGCCTCTCATGGCCCCGCACACATCCAGACACCCAAACATAGCCGCAAGTGATTTTAGGTGCACACATGCTTAAGGCCGGCCACATACGTATGGAATTCCGTTTCGATATTCCGATCCGGAATCCCGAACGCAGCCAGTCCATATAAAATCTATGACCCGCCACACACGCACGGTTATTTTTCCTTACGGAATTTCTCCGATTAGAGATTCCGTATGACCGCCTGTGCGTTCGGAATCCCGAACGGAAAAAAACCGCTCCGAACGCAAGTCTTCCATAGATTTTGTATGAGTCGCAACACACATTCGTAAAAATTCCGTACGGAACGCGCCCAGTGTGGGTTGCACGACGCAAGCGAGTAGGTGTGTTTATGTATGTTTTTACATTTCATCTTGTAGGTGTATAGCTTTTCGTAACCTTTCATCTTATTTTATTTAATAATTCTTCGAATGAATTTACCGACAAATATTTAAAACATATATCTGGATAGATAGACATTTTTACATAATATTGACTATATTGCAAGCTTAGGCTGATAAGGGGATGCACCTAGTAAGAATGATACAGCAACAATGGAATCGCAATTAGAAAATCGTCGTCATTATTCGCTAACAGAATGTCTAGACTCAATCTCTAACGTCTCTCAACTGACTCTTGTTATTCCGAACGGAAATATACGTATGTGTGTGATATATTCACGGAATCCCAATTCGGGATTCCGAAACGGAATAACGAGACGGAATTCCGTATGTATGTGGCCGACCTAAGTGTCGTTTCTTTTCGCGTAATGTATATTTATATTCTTTGCTCTTACATAGGAGAAACAAATATATATATATATATATAAGAACCCGCGTTAAAGAACATAATATAATTGACGTGAAACACCAACGCTCCGGAAAGTCTGCAGTTTGTGAACATGTTCAAGATCGTCTCCATCATTACATTAGAGTTGATAGACGACAAATCCTCGCAAAGGAACACCAATTCCTTACCAGGGTGATTCGCGAGGCTATTGAAATTAAAAAACATTCTAATTTCAGTAGAGAAAACGGATGGCTACTATCTGCTTGGAATCCTATAATTAATAATATTAAATCCAAACCCAAGCATAGCACTGCAAGACTACAAGATACTGTAAGCACGTTCTATTTAGATCGGACCAAAAATTATTATTCAAGAACTAAAGGTAGCCGGGCTAACTATGACATCGGGACGTCAAACACCTCAAACCATGGGTGCTGTAAAGCCATCGATCACTAATAAAAAACTAGATGCACAATCACATACAAAAGTTCTCTAAAAACTGTCGCCAAATGTTTTGACGTAATTCTAGATATACATTAATATAAATTCAACCTTAAGTGAAACGCCTAAAGTTGTATTGACAAAGCAACGTACAAAAAGCAATAAACTTTTACGACCGAGGCTCGTCGCTTGGACAAGGAGAGTGGAGTCGAACTGCACAATATTTTTTGTTACTGTAATTTTAATTTTACAATTTTTTTAAACTTGTTTTAAATAATTGGTCTACGTAATAAAGCATATTCTATACTATTCTATGGTGTATATGTGTAATGGTTATGTTATTACCTGAATGTAAATATGCTTTTGGATAGGGCATCACATTCATTTAGTAATGAAAGTAATTGAAACAGTCATAATTATTTATGTATTCTTTATCTTGTGTGAAAAATTTAAAGATATTGCTTGAAGTTATATCTAAATATGATAGTTACTAAATATAAAAAGTAAGTACAGAAAGTTCTTGCAAAATATAATAATATTATTGTCCAAATTTTGACGTAATGTTCATATTTACAGATGTTTTAATAAAACAGATAAGACTGAATAATTATAACGATTTCTTATATTTACGCGTTCACTACACATTTAAATGAAACTAGTTTTACGGATTTTATCGCGTATATTAACTTATTTTATATTCTTGACGTTTCGAGTACTATACTATTTAGAGAAACAGCAAAGAACTTTCATTAAACAAAAAAAAAACAATCATACTTTAATAATAAAACAATAAAAAAACAATAGCGTTTCCACAAATGGAACAGAGTCAACGCATATACCTCGAACAATGACGACTTATTTTATTAAGACTTAATTTAAAAATACTTTTATGATGATTTCTTGACAAAATATCAGTATTTACAATACAGTTATAACAATTAAATAATGTTAATATTAATACCTACCGTAAATATGAAATTCCATCCTTTTTTAGCGTACTGGATGTGTGATTTTTACACTTTTTGAACGAGCACTGAGGCATGTTTACCGTCGGAGCATTCGAATGCTACTAGATTAAATGTGCACCCATATGTTCGAATGGGTGCACATACGGTTATGCCATTTTTTGTCACTGATTGTGTATCTAGTTTTTTATTAGTGATCGATGTGTAAAGCACCCGACCCGAAGCGTCGGGAATTAAATAGTTAAAATTAAACGCGATAAAATCGCACTATTCGCGTATATCGCGTTCGCGTAAATATAATAAATCATTTGGACACTTGGATATCGAATTTTCTGTAAATTAAGTGTCGTTGATTTTTTTCAAATTGTTGGATATCAAACTTTTTTTAGTATTAATCCTTGTCTAGAAAGAAACATCCCCGTCAAATGCCTCAATATATTTAATACACAATTTAAGGCGGTCATAGGTAATGAATAGCCTAATCAAGCCTTACTTCGAGAAATAGATCCTACTATACCAAACACTTTTAAGTAAGTTGTAGTATTACTACTGCCACTATTACAAGGCGGCCAAAATTACTAGGCGGCTACTATTACTAGGCGGCTACTATTACTAGGCGGCTACTATTACTAGGCGGCTGCTATTACTAGGCGGCCACTATTACTAGGCGGCCACTATTACTAGGCGGCCACTATTACTAGGCGGCCACTATTACTAGGCGGCCTCTATTACTAGGCGGCCTCTATTACTAGGCGGCCATTATTACTAGGCGGCCATTATTACTAGGCGGCCACTATTACTAGACGGCTACTACTACTAGGCGGCTACTATTACTAGGCGGCTATTATTACTAGGCGGCTACTATTACTAGGCGGGCTCTGTGTCCTTAATTAGTACATTGCGCACGAAGTTACGGCCAATTCTCCGTAACACCTTGAGCCGACTGCATATGGGCGCGAAGACTAGTTCTTCGATTTGTAAACCGCAAACGTTGTTTTCGACAATCTAACACTGATTTTGTTTAATGTTACTAATAAAATGCTGTCATTATTTATGTTTGTCTTTTGTCAACATTATTTGAAGTTTATTTCAGATAAGTATGTAACTTTATTTCGTATTTGCCTAAAAACAATATCAGTCTTAAATGAAAATACAACTGCGTGGCATATTTACCGAACTAGTTACCCGTCCGTGCCCACTCCCGCGTGATTTATTGCAGCAGGGCTAGTATGGACAGGAGACAATTTTATCCCCGGGGAAAGGAAAAAATGTTTATCCCCTCGCTTAGTTTTATCCACCCTTCGAGCATGGGCACACCGGTGGATATAATATCCACAGTAGATAAAATGGGAGATAGACTTAGATAGATGTTTTATATGAATATAAACTTAAACCCACGTCCAATGAACTAGAATAAAATTGTCCCATGCAAATTTCAAAAGCATAATTTTCTATATTTCATTACGCTCCATGCTACGGACGAGGTATATATGTCTACTCGTTATATCAAACGGGGATATACTTCTCCCCGTTGCCGTGCTTTGGCATAAGGACAAGATAATTTTATCTCTTGTCAGTGGATATACACTAAAATGATCTTATCAGGGGATAATTTTTTTGCCCCCAGCCCATCCTAGCCGTGCACAGTGACATACATTTTGTTCTAAATTGCAGGTCAAGTAGTTTACATGGAAGCCTTTGTACTACACTTAAAGCAATAGCAGTTCTTGTCTGTTATATGTATATATTATGTAATTGGTTTCTTGGATATAGCTCCAACGATTTGGGTGAAATTTTGTATTTAATTTACTTCCTAAGTTGATCTAGATTGGTTTCATTACTGAAAAAATTGTACCTTTTTTCTAACGCCTAGCATACCTCGGTCGCCCAAGTACTTTATATTAAAGATGAAAAAACAAAATGAAAATCAATGTTTTGTGAGAGCATGGTACAACACCTGTACCACGTAAAAAGTAGACTAAAAATAAAGAAATATATGGTATATATATTATAACGTAAGGGTAGATATCGATATTGTTTAACTTATGTAACGTATGTTCCAGCGCTGTACGAAGATGAGTCTGACAATGACCTGGGCTCGATGGAGAACCACGGCTCCGTCGTTGCACATCTGCTGTCACAAGTCAAGATCGGCATGGATCTCACCAAGGTACGGAATACCTTCAGTTTCGTTCATTTAGTAAATTTTTTTGCTGTCAAATAATTGCCGTATTATATTAACTAACGTAATAAAATTCTAATTTGGAATGGAAATTTTAAAATAATTTCTTTTTTTTTTTTGAAATTATTACAAAATATAATTTACTAGGTAGGATTCTGTGTACTAGGTGGAAAAGGAGCCCTACCGACTTCCGTCTGTAGGTGCCCTACTGTCGTGACCTATTTCTGTCGCAAAATAGCAGCGCCTGCACAGCTGTGTTCCAGTCTTAAGGGCGCGTACGGACGACATGCACCCGCTACGCCCACGCCACGCGTGTCACCACCCGCGTCTAACTCGCTTTGAAATTTGTTGCATATAATTTGAGTCTTATGACAAATCAATAAATCTGAAATTGTATAAAAAGCGCGTGTGCGGGGTGCGGAACGAGGCGGGCGCGTGGCGTGGGCGAGGCGTGTGCTGTTGAACGTCGATAAATGCAATTTCAGATTTATTGATTTGTCATAAAACTCAAATTATATGCAACAAATTTCAAAGCGAGTTAGACGCGGGTGCTGAAGCGCATGGCGTGCGCGTAGCGGGTGCGTGTCGTCGGAACGCGCCCTAAGAGTATAGAGAGCCAGTATAGTTACGGGCTGTGAGGCATCTTAGTCCTCAGAGTTGACAATGCATCTGTGACTTTCTTTATATGAAGTCGGTTCCGGGTATCCATGGGCTGCAGTAGCCAATTACCATCAGGTGTAAATTCGTTTTTCACTTGTATTATATATAAAAAAAATATTATTTTATATACAAATTCAAAGAGCTGTGGAAGCTCAGGGGTTAAGTGCTCGCTGTAAATTACACGGTACGCGAGCAATCCAGGTTTTATCCGATTTATTACAATTTTAAATGCTGATTTACCACGTGCTCGGCGGTAAAGGAAAACATCTTTAGGAAACCGGCATGTCCAAGAAATTAAAAGTAATAATAATTCGAGGACGTGTAAAGTCTGCAAATACGCACTGGGGCAGCGCAGCGGACATTTGCTTGCCCTCAGAAATTACAGAAGTGGGACTGTGACTTTACAAATTCGAGATACAAAAATGTACAGAATATGTTATTATATTATGTACTTTAATTTAAAACATACAAAAATAAACATAAGTTACTTTCATTTGTTTATATATTATATTATTTATATAGTTGATGTCGTTAATATGTGTTTGAATGCTAATTTGAATCTGGCAAAGAAATTAAAGAAGACGTAAGCAGATTTTAGCAATTGGCATATCAAGAATTTTTCAATATCTTTACATACTTTGCTCTAGGGTTTTGGTTTGAACTGTAGTGGGAAACGAAGTGACCAACGAGTCAGCAGTCCACCTGATGATAGTGGTTGCTACTGCAGCCTATGATAACATGCAACTTCAAGGAAAGAAAGCCACAGATACATTGCATATACCACTAGGGACTAGGGTCTAAAATGAAATTCCGCACAGTCCGTAATCACACGGACTCCACGAGAGAAGAGGACAACCACCATCTTTTTTTTATAAGATAGGGTGATAAACGAGCACACAGCCCACCTGATGGTAAGTGATTGCTGTGACCCATACACATCTATCTACATTTATCCTCAATAAAGTATCAAAATGCAGATGCGTCGTCACCCGTGAGGACTAAGGTGGAATGCCTCTTTTCCAGTAAAATGGGGCTCTGGTTCTCTACACTCACCATACGAAACACAGCAGTGTCAAGCTGCCATTTTACGCTGGTATTCTGTGAGAGCGTGGTCCTTCCCCGGTAGAGCCGACCCATTTGTGCTACAACTATACTACTAATATAGCTGCAGCATGGCTCTACCGCGTAAAGAAATGTTTTTCTATTGAATTTTATAATATAGAATGCAATAGAAAAACAAATGACTGCAGCTTAACTTTAAACAGTCTTTGATATATTTAATTCGTATATTTCCAGTAGGCCAGTATAATAATTCGAAGCAAAAGTACTTTTTATTTTGTTCTTTAAAAAAAACCCTACCCGCACGAGGATATTCTCCTGTGTCGTGGAAGCAGTTTACAATCATAAATTGCAAATAGACAAACACCCTGACCCGAAACAAAATATATGTCATACAAAATAAATACTTGTTCCGTGCGCGGTTCGAACCCGCGGCCTTCAGCGTAGTTACTCATGGCTATACCACTGCGCCACGGAGCCGTCAAATAATTCAATGTCGTATCAAACTTTGTTTCAATAGCACGATGATGACTAGGCTTAAACTATAGTCCAGTATACACCGCGATAGTTAAAACGTGGTAGAGCCATGCTGCAGCTGTATTAGTAGTATAGTTGTAGCACGAATGGGTCGGCTCGACCGGGGAAGGACCACGTTCTCACAGAATACCAGCGTAAAATAGCAGCTTAATGCTGCTGTGTTTCGTATGGTGAGTGTAGAGAACCGGAGACCCTTTTTACTGGAAAAGAGGCATTCCATCTTAGTCCTCACGGGTGACAACGCATCTGCATTTTGATTCGCAAACGAAGATAAATGTAGATGTCTATGGGCCACAGCAACCACTTACCATCAGGTGGACTGTGTGCTCGTTTGTTACCCTATCCTATAAAAAAAAAAATAGTCCGACAACAGTTTGCCTCTTTAATAACTTACGCAACGCACTTTTATTTTACTTGTATTTTATATACGTTAATCCATTACAGCCTGTAAAAGTCCACTGCTGAATATAGACCTCCCTCATATATTGCCTCATGGGGGTGATTTCGCCATAGTTGATTCGCCATGCAAGCAAGTTGTCAACCGCAGTTTTATTTTGAGTTGTTACCAGTAGGATGCTGCCCATACTCGTAACCTGTTTCAATTTCTTTCTGTCACCCACGGGACGATATGGGGTAGTGGATATTGTTACGAGCTTGGGGTTCGGGACAATTAAAAACGGCCGATTGAATTACCAAAATTGACACTTTAATTACAGAACCCTAATTACAACTTAGAAACACACTAATAATAAAACACAATTGTACTACTGATCACTTTAGTTCGCAGCTATATCATTTCGAAGTATTCGCTTATATCGCCAATTCAATACTGACTCGGTCGCGGTGTATACTGGCCTTATATAGGGCCTAAGGTAGTTTCCAGAACCTTCTGCTACAGAAACATCTAGAAAGTTAGAGTACATATCGGTCCCGATATTTCTAGAAGGATCTTGACTCTCCTAGTTCTGCTACTCGATACTAGAGGGCTCTAGTAGTGACTAGTGCTGCCATGTACAAGACATTAATAGTGGCGCGCAACAATATTCTTACACCGGCACTACAGGGCGTACGTTATTAGACGCGATAAAATCACTATAACTAGTTTTATTTAAGTGTGTAATGTGCACGCAAACATAAGAAATGATTTAATAAAGGAACTAAAGGTTATGATTTAAAATATTGTTAAATGGGGTCACTTCCAGACATATTTTACGTCCGATGGTATCGTATAAATAATGTGATATTTACTATACACGCGGCACAACTCTCCAAACATTATTTTCTTGGCACGCTCATGACACCCCAGCATTTTATTATCATTTTATTGATATTACAACTAAATAAAGTCAATAACAATTTAATTAAAAATGAATTTAAAGACCGCCAATAAAAAATGTTCTATGAAAATGGCGGCTGTTTATGAACGTACGCGTACGTATGGTTCTGGACGTACGCGTACGGTCAGAAAAACAAATTAATTATCACTTCAAATTTTGTTTCAAGTTTCTTCTAATATATATAATAATTTAAAAAATAGGTACTTACTTATTAAATAGACCATACTTTATATGTCATATACATACAAAAACAATCTATGTGCGACAGCTTCGCACATTGTAAAACTATTTTAACGATTGTTTTTATAATTGATAGATTGTGTCTTTACGATGATTCCATATAAATTAATAACAAAATTGTGGTTTTTGCGATTGAACTCGTTTGTTTTAAGTTTTAACGTATTTAGCGTTATCGAATATATTTCACCAGAGACAATAATAAAAAAAACTCGCGTGAGATATGATATATCTTATTAGAAAACTTAAAAAACTGTAAACGATGATAGTTTTTTTTTTTCTTGTAAAAAGGACTGAATATCCACTAATGTCTATAAAAACAGCAAGCAACTAACCAAAGAGCAATGGCAGAAAAATAGTTGAGAAAAATTATAGCGTCTAGAAATAAGTTATATATAAAATGAGTTTTATTATTTTTCTATGATTTTTCAAATAAAAATGTATTTTAACTAAATCTACAGAAAAAAAACTAACATTTTTGGGAATATCAAATGACTTAAATCATTTTACTTCAAATGTTGCCATTTAGTATATTCATACTATTTTCGTATACACTTTGTAACACTACCAACACAACACACAAAATATTTTTATATTAAGTTATTATTAGTAATAACTGTACTATCATTAATAATAATAATAAAAGTGATATGGCTGAGAATAAGTCTCTTACAAAGAATTTCCTACAATAATACATCATCTCAATCATAGTACTATGTAACAATTCCATTTAATGTTATGCCAACACTATCTAAAATTAAATGTCACTGTTTTTTTTTCTGGCTTTACGACCCTGGGTTCTAGCCCTTCTGAGAATGTCACTATGATACAAAAGCCCTGGAGCCATGCCAGAAATATACATTCATAGTATGCAAATATATAATAGAGATACAATAATCTAAAATCTCTCAATTATGTATTATTTATTAAGCTAACATCAAATAACCACAGGAAGTATGACTCCTTCCAAGTGACATAGGACATAGCCTACAAATGTTCAAATGTAAATATGTTTTTTTTGACGCCTTCTCAGTACAAAATTCTTTGACAGAGTTATTAAGGGAGTGACGCTTAACATTTTAAGATATTTTGGTATATAGACGCTACCATTTCTTCTCAACTAATTTTATGTATGAAAGTCTGCCATTGCTCTTTAGAGGACTGGCATAATTATATTTGCGTCTAAAAAATACGTGGTTTGACGTAATTCGACGATATAGAGATGTATGTTAATTATAATAAATAAGAATTTTTTTCTTCGAAATGTTTTACAACACTAAAATGAATCTTTTTGCATTTTCGAGAATACATTATTCGACGTAACTAACAGGCACAACATTAGAACGTAATCAGACAACCATACGTTGTCTGATTACGTTCCAGTCAGCCAGTCTCCACCTTTTTGTTGTTGACTTACCACGCATTCAAACCAAACGGTTCGCTACATCGTTCATTATGCGTACAGCAAAGGAGTGGAATAAGTTGCTAGCATCTGTATTTCCATCGGATTACAGTGCGGGTGTCTTCAAGGCAAGAGTAAATAGGCTTTTGTTAAGTCAGTGCACTTCACCATCTTAGGCTACATCACATCAGGTGGGATCGTAGATAAGCGCTGGCTTAAAGTTGCAGCATATTTACGTTACACTGCTGGGCGCAGGCCTCCTCTCATTTTTTAGAGGGTTTTAGGGCAAGGAATTGTCCACCGCGCTGCCCTAATGCGTGTTGGCGAACTTCACATGTCTTCGAAATATTTTTTTCTATATAATATTTATCTTCGTAAAATTCTTATTTCTCAGACATGCAGGTTTCCTCACGATGTTTTCCTTCACCACCGAGCACGTGGTAAATCAGCACTTAATATTGCATTTTTTATATTCTACTAAGCGCTGGCTTAGTAGAATATAAAAAAAAATCTAAACAAATACTGGAGCACGTCAGGATAACTACACTAGAGAGCAAATCGAAATTGATAGGAAGTCTGTTTTTGCATACGGTACATAGGATATGCGAGTATATCAAGCGATATTGTGGCGAGAGAAATAGCGTGTTTCGGCCGCCATTTATAAAACGTTTCTTTAGGCGCGACTTATTTGTTTTATGGTATATTCTTAATGCTTGTAGCGTGCAATGCGAACTGAAATGTCATTTTGACAGTACCTATACTTGCGCGACTAGTATATTAAATTTGGATCTATTTTCAAAATAGGATTTAGCAGCTTTTAATCTCTAAAAGTTATTTAATATGTTATTTCTATTCTAGGTTGTGCTCCCCACATTCATACTAGAAAGGCGATCGCTGCTCGAGATGTACGCGGACTCTTTCGCGCATCCGGACCAGTTCGTCAAGTTGGTATCCATTTATTTATTGACGAACCTAAAAAGTGCTCTATACCGGATCAGCATATTATGTATTAGTCTCGAACCTATATAGTTTATAGTGGTGTGAAATTAATATGCGAGCTCTTTCTACAAAATGTCAAATGTGTTCGTCTCAATCATCTGCATCAGCCTGCAATATTCCCCTGTTGGACATGGGTCTATGTAAGAAGGATTAGCTTTAATCGTCAGGCTTGGAGGCGGATTGACGATGCCGGTAGCAGACGTCTCACATTTTTGATGCTGCTGTCTGTACAACAGCATTTTACGACTAGCGTAGCGTATCGTAAGAGATTGTTATAATGCCATCAATCGAAAGCCATAAAATCTTGGCGGAGTATACCATAGCCGGCTCTTCGACACCCGAGGTACGAATTAGAGAGATAGTTTCTCTTACGCCCCATCCACACTGTGAAGCCTGAGTAAATAAAAATAATGAATTTACACCCCATAAAGGGTTAGATAAGAATTCCATTCCAAGAAGTTTCCTTTGTCGCCAAGCACGAAGTAGTGGAATAAAAAATTGTACTGGCAACACTCGAATGAAAATCTATTCTATACAAATAAATATAATTGAAGTGTCTGTTTGTAATGTTAAAATAACAGGGTTTTACTAAATGCACATGAAAGTATACATGGTACTAATAACAAAAAACAATTTTCAAAATTTTTGTCTGTCTGTTCCGGCTAATCTCCGAAACGGCTGGACTGATTTTGACGGGACTTTTACTGCCAGATATCTGATGTTATAAGGAGTAAATTAAGATGTTTTGATAGTTTGTTTAGAAAAATAATTAGGGTTCCGCGCCAGAAAATAAAACCCATGAAATCGTAGTAAATTCCACGCCGGCGAAGTCGCGGGGGCAGCTAGTTAAATAATAAAAATAAACGTCCTATACTCAAACCGAATCTTACATTCATACCATCGTTTATTTTCCCTATCTATTTTCGTTCATATTACTCCAATAATTGTGTAATTAATTAGAAACCTTCTTCTCTATGACAAAAAGAGAAATTTCATTTATAATTATAAGATTTTTTTATTTCACTTTTAATTGACATTCATATCTTATACGAAACTCGGGAATAGAAAAATCAGATTTATGTGTCAACCATATATAACAACGCTAGTCATTACGTCATGTATTGAGTTAAACGGTATCTATCCCTCGTTCCAGAATAGTCGACATGCCCACGCCTAAGGAGCGAATGGTGCAAGTGGTACGGTGGTACTTGAGCTCATTCCACGCGGGTCGCAAATCACAAGTCGCCAAGAAGCCCTATAACCCCATATTGGGGGAAGTATTCCGCTGTCATTGGGACCTGGACGGCTCTATCGACCCGCAAAATACGTCCACCGAAAAGGTTTGTTCTATAGATTGTCGGATAGTGTTGTTGTAAATCTTTACATAATTTGAAATGTTGCTCTAATAGAGTAAAGTAAAGTAAAGTTGCAGCCTATTTACGTCCCACTGCTGGGCACAGGCTTCTCTCATTTCTGAGAGGGTTTTAGGGCAAGGAAATGTCCGTCGCGCTGTCAATGCGTATTGGCGAACTTCACATGTCTATGAAATATTTTTTTCTATTTCTCAGACATGCAGGTTTCCTCGCGATATTTTTCTTCACCGCCGAGCACGTGGTAAATGAGCACATAAAATTGAAATTAACAATTTCGACTTTTTTTCGAATTTTAACGATCGAACCCGGGTTGCTCGAGTACTGTGAAGCTTACAGCGAGCGCTAACCATCTGAGCTACCACGGCTCTAATAGAACTAGTAAATTTTTAATTTGTTTAAATATATAACGATTCTAGAACAGTAACGCGCAGAAATAACAACTTCTTTCCGTTAAGAACCGAGACATGTGCGTGTGCGCATGTGTGGCCGTGCGTGCGGGTGCGTGCGTGCGATGGTGCTTGTGCTCGGGCAGTTATGACCTCAGTCACCACGTGTATACATACATACATTCATACAACCTTAAAAGAGAACCCTTCGCCGGAAATGTTTACATAATATTGCACTCCCTTATTACTTTATAATTTTTTTAAAACGCTACCCACCCTAGGGTTTTCTTAGCTGGAACAATTACTTGTAGGCCATGCAAATACTTGTTCCGTGCGGAATTCGAACCCGTGCCCCTCGGCGCCGCTATCAATTCTAAGCCACTGCTCCGCGCAACCGTTAAATAATGAGACAACACTTGCCAAATCATAAACACGGCTGTATGGAAAAGATTTTTTTATTTATTTTTTTATTTTATTTACACAAAAACAGTAACAGCATCATAACAGTACAAAACCAAGAAGATGCTGTACAAAAACCAAATAACAAGTGATAAATATAACTACAGACATAAAATATATGCTTAATACTATTATAATTAAGAAAAAAATATAAATAGAGAGAGAAAAAAAAAACAAAAAAAAAAATTATGAAAAAATCTCACAGACCCTGTGCGCCGCTTCTGTGAACTTTGCCAGGCTGCAGTGAAAAATGTCAGTTTCTTCGGAAATAATATTCAATAACTTTAAAGCCCGTGACATAGGTGCAAACCTGAGCAGATTTGTCCTAGCGTGTGGCACCTTAAAAGTGGGATGTGGGCGACGCCTAACCACCACCTTATCAGGCACAAACAGCTGCAACGCCTCCAGTACCTCAGGATGGTATAGCTGGCCACGCAAGACACTCCACACGTACTTGCAGAGTGCGACGTCACGCCTCACACCAAGCTGGCAGTACCCAACCATGCCGATCACGAACAAGCTCGGGTACATCAGCGGGTAGAAAGGATAGACGCCGTACTCCTTTAAATAAAGGAACCGCGTGAATTTATTTTGAATTTTTTCCACCATGTTGATATACTTATCTTCATGGGGATTCCAAATAATTGCACTCGTTTCCAGCCGGCTACGAACAAGTGCATTGTATAAAACTTTAATAATCGCCGTACTAAGATAATCCCTGCAATTCCTTAGGATAAAACCTAAGTTTCGGAATGCCTTACCGCAGGTATCTTCAATGTGCCTACGAAACGTCAACTCCGCCACGATCTGCACACCTAAGTCATGTACGAAAGAAACGCGCGGCATCACCGTTCCGTCAACCTCGTACCGGTATTGCAGCGGCGCCTGTCTACGCCCGTAACTTATCACCTCACACTTCGACGTGTTAAAATATAACTTGTTAATTGCACTCCACTGCACGACCCTATCTATATCCCGCTGAAGCTGCTCACAATCCGAAACGTCCGCTACCGACAAAAACAGTTTTAAGTCGTCTGCAAATAGGAGACATTTCGAGTCCTTAATGACTTCTGGGAGATCGTTTATCAATAATATGAACTCTAAGGGGCCCAAATTACTCCCCTGGCTCACACCCGAAAACGTGAAGTAAGGTTCAGATTCATACCCCGCGAACTCGACGTACTGCCGGCGTTCACCAAGGTAACTCGCGAAAAATTTTAAAAGATGCGGTGTGAAACCCACCGCCGCAAATTTTTCTAAAAGGATGTCGTTATCCACGGTATCAAAAGCTTTCCGAAAGTCGAAGTAAGCGGCATCAACCTGCCCCCCAGCGTCAATAACTGGCGTCAGGTATGTCATAAATGACAGCAAGTTACTCGCTGTACTTCGACCCGGCCGAAACCCATGCTGAACGTCGGTCAGCTGCGAACTGATCTGCGTATAAATACATTTTTGTAATGCGGATTCAAATACCTTGGCGAACGCAGACAGCACCGCCACAGGTCGGTATCCGCTCACATCTGAATTCAAACCTCCTTTAGGCACCGGTATTACTCTTGTCAATTTCCATTCTTCGGGATAGTAGCCTTCTCGGAGACACAGGTTAAAAACGTGAAGCAGAGGCTTTTCAAAAACAGAGCGACAGTCTTTGACTATGTAAGGTGGTATACCGTCAGGGCCTACAGAGCGCTTAGGCTTGAGGCGTGCGAGAGCGGTGCGGATGTCGCGCACGCTCAGCTGGCCGACGTGCACACGAGCTGCGCCAGCACGCGCGCTCGCCGCACGCTCCGCCGCCTCCGGGTCCAGCGCCGGTCGCGTTTCGCTATACACAGTTTGGAAATAAGACGCGAAACATTGCGCACTCGATGACTCACTTAACTCCAGACCGTTTTTTGTTACTCGAGGTTTGTTACGTTTTGACTGCTTGCATCTTACGTAATCCCAAAAAGATTTCGGATCGTCCTTAAAATTCAGCTGTAATTTCTCCTGGTAGGCTTCATAATTGACTTTTAACTTATGTTTTATCTGAGATCGATACCGAGAAAACGCCTCGTAATCACATTGCGCACCCGTCATTTTATACAGTTTATGATACCTCCACTTTCGCTTTATATCGCGTATTAAATCGGATGAGTACCATTCCGGGTAAACATACCTGGAATGATTCCTATTAAGTTTGGCCCTACGGGCTCTAGGAATTAAACGGTCTATTACCTCATTTACAACTGTATATAGCTCCGATATGGCTACCTCCGGGGTGTCAATTTGATACAAATTACCCCAATCAATTTGTTGAAAGCTATCGTATAAAATATGAAAATTGGCTTTATAGAAAGCAAAGATGTAGCATAGATTACTTGAAGTATAAAAGAATCGATCTTTGGGCAGACGATATTAGTCTATTTGAAATTTATTTCTTTACCTTCCAGGATGAGGTAGGTGACGGTCCAGTTCCGTGGTGTTCGCCGGATCAACTGTCGTTCGTCGCGGAACAAGTGTCACACCATCCGCCAATCAGCGCCTTCTACGCAGAGCATGTCAATAAACGCATCCAGTTCGAAGCCTGGGTGTGGACGAAAAGCAAGTTCCTCGGCTTGTCCATTGGCGTGCACAACATTGGGCGCGGTGTTGTCACCCTGCTGGACATCGGGGAAGAGTACAGCGTCACGTTCCCCAATGGATATGGACGGTAAATACCAAACATAAAATCCTCGTCTTAATTGAAGTAACGTGCCTCTCTATTGCATTTATCACACGTGCAAATTTTACAATATACGTAATTTTTAAAAATTACGTATATTTTACAATATGCGTAATTTTTGCCTACTACTCTGATTCGTTGTCTAACTAGTTGTATTCAGAATTGAACAAGGCCAAAATATTGATTCAAGTATATTATCTACCGACTTCAAAAAGGAGGAGGTACTCAATTCGATTGTATGTTTTTATGTGTGTTACCTCGTAACTTTGTTCCACGTGAACCGATTACGATGATTTTTTTTTATTTGAAAGCTGGTGCTTCTCATATGTGGTCCTATATAATTTTGATCAAGGTGTGACCAACAGTTTGTGAGTTATCGTTAATAATATATATTGAAGTCGGTTGTACAAAATTTTCAATTTTAAATTATATTTTCTATTATTAAGTGGCGAAGCTTGCGAAGTCACTTATTGATTTCACGATGTCTGTCCGTCTGTCCGTCTGTCCCACGATTATCTCGAGAACGGTTTCGAATTTTCAAATTCTGTTTTCAGCAATCGATTACTGATCACCCAGGCATCTGAACCTCCTATTTTGAAACTGATTGCTCAACGGCAACCGTTAGAAACCGCTACAAAGCTGATTGCTTCGCCACTTTGCTATGCTGTTAGCTTGCTAGGTTTATTTAATCCCTATCTTTCCGCCAGCGCCATTTTAGTTAATGTAAGTCTTTGTTTTAAATTGAATCTACATCTACTAATTTATTATTATGTATTTATTCAAGACAAAAAGGTTTTTTTCCAACCAACTTTCAAGAAAAGGAGGAGGTTGTCAATTCGACTGTATTTTTTTATGTGTTACCTCAAAACTTTTTCTAGGTGAACCGATTTTGGTGATTTTTTTTTATATGGTCCCGTATAAATTTAATCAAGGTCTGACCAATAGGTTTTTGAGTTATTCTTATTAATTTATATTGAAGTCGATGGTAGAAAATTTTTGAAATTTTACCACTTGTTCAACTTAACTTCCGTTCCGTTGTTCGCAGTTCGATACTCACAGTTCCGTGGATAGAGCTCGGCGGTCAGGTGTCAATAGAGTGTCCGCAAACGGGGCACAAGGCAAACGTTGAGTTTCTCACGAAACCGTTTTACGGGGGCAAGAAGCATCGAGTCACTTGCGAAGTGTTCGCTGGCAGCGACAAAAAACCCTACTATACAGCTCAGGGCGAGTGGAACTCCAGGATGGACGGCAGGTGGACAGAGTCTGGGGTGAGTGTTCATTTTGAGCTCCGTTGTCGTGCCAGGCCTTTATTATTTCGTTCTATTTATCTGCCCTGTGTTAGAGTATCACTTTGAGAGTTTACGAAAAACATTGTAAGTCCGGCGGTGGAAGGAAAACAGGAGATCTTTCGCCGGGCAAGGTATTCAGCCCTTGAAGCGGTCAACGCTCGGTGTGGTACTTGCTCGGACCTTTGCTAGCGTGATTTAGATTTCGGTGCGTTTAGCTTGTGCCACGACGACAGCACCGCCACATTAGTTAGCCGCCAAGGCTCAGAAATTCACAAAAGTTAGAGGATATATAAGTCCGCCAACCAAGCTCTGGGTCAGCGCGGTCGACTTTTTCTTGCTCCTGAATATATCTCAAAAATGAAAGAAGGCCTGTGTCCGATAGCAGGCGAATTGATTTTATTAAAATTTAACATTATAGCGTCTTAGCTACAGAATTTTTTTTTTTTGATAAATAGACATGTGTGATTTTGTGTGTCTGGTGTGCTCTTTAATTTTTTAGACATATTGAATGTAGTGGGTGGAAGGAACAGAGGAGATCTCCCGCCGGGCAAGGTGTTCTGCCCGGGGAGCGGCCAACGCTCCGCGTGGTAGTTCGGAGCTATTCTATATATACTGCTTTAATTTCGGAACTTTGTTAATGCGATTTAGGCTTCGATGTGTATCGCTTGTGACGCGACAACAGCGCCGCCACATTGAACTTTTTTTTAATTGTTCTATTTTTAGTAATATCCATTGTTTGGTTTATCCATTTCTAATCTAATTAATACAATAGATAACTAAAATTTCGCTAAGAAAAGTTGTGGATGAGCTCAGGCGTATTGCTTTTAAATTGTCTCTCATGAGACTGTAATGAATTCTTGTTTCTGGACCAATTGTTATTAAGATCAATATCCTACTACATAGGAGTCCTTAGGTTTTATTAAATTCGCCGTCAAAACTGAAAAAAGTGGTCGCCGTTTTTCAACTCGGATCTATTCGCTATCTTTCGTGTTATAAGAAACGTATATCATGCTATATAATTTGTAGATCATGAACAATGGTCGATTGTTCATTTCTTTTATTACGAAATTTTATTTTCGAGCCTTTGGATGAAATTTCGGGTTCAAGTAAACGTTACCAAGGCAATACACTCGTGGACTCCTTTAAAATATCGCAAAAAAAAAAACATGCTCGGGATGTAACCACACTGGTAGTAGACTAATGCGATTCCAATAAAAATGGTGGTATCGGCAAGACTCAACTCCTCACCATTTAAAATTACATTAGTATCTTTATATTTCATTTAGTAGTTATCCACCAACCAACTATGCAAGTCTTCATTCCTCGCCTTGATCTTATGGGGGCATTTTTTTAGCTAAGTTTATACGAGGGGCGCACTGAAATGATCGGGAATAGAATATTTCGCATTGAGTTACAATAAAACCTTTTTTAGAATTTGAATACTGGCCTCTTAGAATCTTATTGACATTCAAACAATAAAAAAAATGTTTAAAAACAAAAACTATGTTGGTTTAAAGTTGACACGTCGTTAACAGAAATGGAGCTTACGCGTGAACATTTCGGTGCCATAATTTTTCACAATTTTCGTCGCGGCTTATCTCAAGATAGATGTCTCAGCGAACTTGTTTCGATTTATGATGTTGAAGCACCGAGTCAAACGTCAATATACCGCTGGTATGCCGAGTTCCGACGCGGTCGTGTGTCGCTCAGCACTGTTTCTTCTGCAAGTCGACCAAGAACAGCGGTCACGCCTGAAAACATCGCAGCTGTGCGAAATATTATATTAGATGACCGTCATGTGACATACGAGTAGATTCGAGCTGTTATCAGTATCGGAATGACTGCAATTCAGTCGATATTACATTATGAGCTGTGTGTAAGAAAGCTAGTTTCCCGCTGGGTTCCCCACAATTTGTCCGAAGAGCAAAAGGCGGCTCGTCTAGATTGGTGCCGGAATACTTTGCAACGCTTCAACGGAGGGAAGTCAAATGCCGTTTATAGTATCGTCTCAGGTGACGAATCATGGTTATATTCATACGAACCTGAAAGAAAACATCAGTCAGGATCACGATAATGCGAGCTCCCATACGACTCCGAAGACAAATAATTTTTGAAGCAGAAAAACGTTGAGCTAATGAGCCATCCTCCGTACAGTCCTGCTCTGAGCCCAAACGATTTCTTTACATTCCCTAGAATGAAAGATTTACTATGCGGTCAACGGTTTGAAGACCCCGAAGCAGCTGTGGAAGCGTACAAATCAGCCATTTTGTCAACATCAACTTCAGACTGGAATTACTGTTTTAATGATTGCTTTGCACGAATGGAAAAGTGCATTAAGTTGAACGGAGTATACTTCGAAAAACATTAAAATACAATTTAGCTATACCGTGCATGTGGTTTTTCTTATTCCCGATCATTTCAGTGTGCCCCTCGTAATAGAAGTGGCTATTTTATTTTTGGAATTGATCGTAACAACATACACGGCTGGACCGAGTCACCCTGGTCGATGGACAACGTTTATAGGCAACAGAACGTCAGATCTTCTGTCAAGATTGGACAATACACAATGGGCACACATCCGATCAGTCCTAAATCCAGCAGATTTGGCTTCCAGAGGTTGTACTCCTTCCGATCTTTCAGAAAGTAGCTTGTGACTCCAGGGTCCATCATGGTTAAAGGATTCCAATATTATCTACCAAAAACCAAAGTCTATCTCAAGTACTTTGAAACAAATAAAATTAATGGTCCACGCTGTAACTAAAATCCGATCAGCTACTGATTTCGACTTATGTCATCATTGCAAAGGCTTATACGGGTTGTTACTTTTTGTCACAGATTCCTAAGTTACAAAAGAAAAAGTAGGTTCAAAACTTACCTTACGTGCTCGTACTGCAGTCGGTGCTCTGAACTGCAGGAATCTTTAGACGTTTGCATAAAACAATGTCACCTCACAGATTTAAGCGATGCCAACGTTAAGCCCCTTTCTTGATGATAAGGGAATAATGGAGTGGGAGGTAGAATTCAGAATTCTAAACTTCCTATAGATACTAAGCATCCTATTATTCTTCCTCTTAATAGCCATTTGACCAATTTAATCATTGATGAGTCACACCGAAAGACATTAACACGAAGGCCCAACACTCATACTGAACAATTTAAGCACAAGATATTAGAGGATATATCGGCGAAAACCTTGTTAAAATGAATGTGCGCAATTGTGCTGTGTGTGTTCGCCAAGCGGCAGTGACAAAATATCAGTTTATGGGTCAGTTATCATACAGCAGAATAACGCCAGCTAGACCATTTCTTCATAGTGGTGTGGATTTTGCTAGCCCCAACAACGTCCGAATGGCTAAAGGAAGAGATAATAAATCATATGAGAGTTATATTAATCCTTTTGTATCTGTTAAAACAAAGGTCATACATTTAGAAGTAGTAAGCGATCTCACTGCTGATGCCTTCATAGCCGGCTTTAAGCAGTTTGTAGCTCGTATAGGACATGTGTGTACGGTCCAACCATACATTTCTGCCGGCGTTAACATTTTACGCAAAGCAATCGCTATAGTTTAATTACAAAAATTGAGTCAGTTTACGTATTAACCTTAACCGCGACGGACGTGAACTCATTAACATATAACATTAACATTTAACATATTGAAATCTTATATTTTTCACTTATTTAATAAGCTGCTTTAACATAACTTTAAATTATTATTAAACATTCGTCCAATACCCGAACATTTTTTGATTCTTCAAGCGAAAGATAAACATTTTTGGTCCTTCGAGCGACAATAAATTTTTTTGTTCCTTAGAGAAGTGACTTGGACACTTGCGAGCTTCAAGAACAACCCACAACCTCTCATGGCCCCACCGACCCTCAGTTCCGTTCGTGATATTTTAGTAATTGTCGTTTTAGTTCGAAAATTAATAAAGTATCATCAGCAAATAATACTAATTAATATATCATGGATTTCATCTACTATGTATAAATCATTAATATAGACGAGAAACAGAAGGGGGCCGAGAATTGAGCCCTGAGACACTCCAATTAGTACTATCGACCCGGAAGAACTCACACCGTTAATAATAGCTTTTTGAGTTATGTCACTTAAATATGAAATAACAAATTTAAAATGCACCGCTTCTTACAGCATTATGTTGTAGTTTCCTGATTAATGTCTCATGGTGAACACAATTGAAAGCTTTGGATAGGTTACGAATATACCCAAAGCACCCTGTGAATTATTCTGTGCACTGAAGATATATTTAATGAGTTCAACATAAGCATCAGTTGTCGAACTACCCCTTTTGAAACCAAATTTTCACCACCGCCACAAATTTTGAACAAACGGATACCGAATATATTTTCTATGAACTCGCTAGACTTTGCTACCCCGGTACTGCTTACGAGATAAGGTGAACTCGCCAGGCAGGTGCGGTGTCATTGCCTACAGTACAGACAGTAAAATTAGTGGTTTAAACCCTAGCTTCGTTTTAGAAGGTTGTTCTTTACTTGCTCTAGTTTATAAGTGTATTTCAAGATAGTTTTACGTGTTTTTGAATATAATCATGGATAAGAATCAAATAAAATGTAAAATTAACTTTTGTAATTATTAGTCATTGATTAGCGGGATTTTTAGGACTCTGTTTTAGTTCTTAAATCCACTTTTTATTTATAATATTTTGGGGTTCTAATTTCTTTATAAAGTTTATTTTGGTTAAGTTTGGAAAAAAAAATTGTTTAACACGCATTTCTCCGCCAGCGACACTTAGTAATGTATATATTTTTGAAATGTCCTAAATATACTCAATTGTTACCAAAATTTGGCATTTAAACATCTATTTTTTAGTTTACAGCTTAACCCTTTCGCTGTCCCGTGCACTATATATAGTTCACTGCTATTGTTCCTCTTCCCCCCGGACCGCAGTCAAGTGCAGACGTGCTAACTTATATTATAATAATAAATTCAATATCGTAA